GGGGAGAGGAATCGTTGCGCGCGGCTGGAAGGGCTTGGTTTTGACCTTCTCATCTCCTGTGGGTGCGGAAATAGCGGTTCTTATGTCGTTAGAGGAGGCGATATAAAGGGCGTCTGGCCCAGCACCGACAACAACGCCTTTTGTTGCTGCGACAGCGAGAAGGGAGCTCGTAGGGCTAGGAAGGGAATCTTCGGGCCAGGGAGTATTCAGTAATCGAACGTTGCTATCGCTGGACACGCCTTTAAACCCGACTTCCTACATTGATTGTCCATCATGTCAGCTCAAAATCGATTCAAACCCTCAGCGCCATTGCGACATACATCTGCAAAAACATCGGGAAGCTCGGGGCCCAATTCAGCAGCACCCCCAGCGGGGTTGGAAGCTCCAAAGCTGAAAGCCATTCTGAGTCTGTCGAAATCGGCCGAAATTGAACGAGGACGGTCGCCTAGAGATAACCGAGTCTTTGGAGCATGGGGAGAAGGTGGACTTTGCGGCGAAGATGAAAAGGAGCGACGCTGGAGTGCTTGAGGACTCCGATTGAAGAGCTTCCAGGTGCGCGCAAAAATCTTGACCACCTCCCCTCGAGGGAAGGAAGTGGGATGAAAGAGACGGGGTTCACAACGACCCTAAGGAAAAGAGAAACAACAGCACAGTCAATGACTGCCGATAATGCAGGAGCAACGCAACAAGAATGGAGATGGGAGTTCGGCGCCAGATTCCCAGCCGGACAAAAACAGCGGAATTGCTCGCCCATTAGCTAATCCGTGACGTGCCTGAGGCCGCCGCGATCAGGCGCCCGGAGCTTCGTCACTCCATCAACTCGCAGCTCCTCCTCCGCCATCTCTCTCCGTCCTGCTATAGCTTCCTGCTCTTCCCCCGTCATCTGTGCCGGTATCTCATCTTTCTCCGTCAACCCTCAGCTTCTCTTCATCTCAACCGAGCTTCAATTCTCCCAGCTCCTGCTGTTCCTCGCCCCTCTCACAGTACATCACCTCTCCACGCCGTCACCATGACAGGCTTCGATTTCTCCAACTACAACCGTAACGCGGCGCTCCACGCGAAGGGAGTTCCTCTCCCCAAGGCCACCAGTACCGGTACCACCATCGTGGGATGTATATACGACAATGGCGTTGTGGTATGTACCTCCGGAGCAACCCAACAAGCTCCCTAGTACCCAAGTCGACGATCACGAACTCACCACATCTGGCATAACCACAGATTGCAGCAGATACCAGAGCCACCAGCGGCCCGATAGTAGCAGACAAGGTAAACACCCATTCCCCTTCCCCCAGCACTCACAACCACCCCAATCCAACAAAACAACTAACACACATACCCCCACACCTCCAGAACTGCGAGAAACTACACTACATCGCGCCCAAGATCTGGTGCGCGGGAGCCGGAACGGCCGCGGACACCGAGTTCACGACGGCATTGATCAGCTCGAACATCGAACTGCACTCACTTTCGACGGGCCGGCCCCCACGCGTAATCACCTGCATGACGATGCTGAAGCAGCACCTATTCCGATACCAAGGTCACATCGGCGCCTACCTAGTCGTGGCGGGTGTCGACCCCACCGGCATTGGTCTTTTCACCGTCCACGCCCACGGATCCACCGACAAGCTTCCCTACGTGACCATGGGATCTGGTTCCCTGGCCGCGATGTCCGTGTTCGAGTCGACATGGAAGCCGAACTTGGACCGTGAGGGTGCGATCGCCCTGTGCGCGGAGGCCATCAAGGCTGGTATCTTCAACGATCTGGGATCCGGTAGCAATGTCGATGTTTGTGTCATTGAGAAGGACAAGCCTACGCAGTTGCTGCGCAACTACATCAAGCCTAATGAACGTGGCGAGAAGGAGCGCAATTACCGCTTCCCTAAGGGTACTACGGCTTATTTGAACCAGAAGATTATCAGCAAGGAGGATATGCGGAAGTATATCTCTGTTGAGGAGGCGTCGGGTGATCCTAACTTGATGGAGGTGGATGTCTAAGTGATGTGTTGTTATTTGTTGTTGTAACGACTAGAGCAAAGAAAGGTTCTTATTTACTACTGGTTTTGTCGGGCTCGCTTTATCTTATCTTAAATATGGGCCCACGCATGAATAATTGCCATTATGATTGTTGGAATTGAGAACGTTTCGAAAAGTTATACTCGCGTAGAGCTGTAGTTGATACGCCAGAGGCATACGATATTCCTTCGTAGGCCGTTGTAACCTATAAAATAGTATACAGTCCCGGTGTATCAGACCAGGCTAGGTATCTAAAATACATCTCATCGCACCTCTTCGTACTCAGAACCACTATCCCCTTCTTCTTCCCCAGAAAACCGATGTCCAATCCTCGGCGGCTCCATAAGCGCCTCAACGACATCCGCACCCTCGACCTCCTCCACAACATCATAGATATACGCATACTGCGTAAGCGAAACACGCAAACCCTCGCGCCGGAAGCGTTCGACGCCCGCATGATACAAAGCACGTGCAATCGCCGGCTTAACAGGCGCATTATGCTTCACCAGGAAGACGTACAGCCAATGCACGAGAGTGTAGGAACGGCGGGGGCTCAAGCGCCTCGAGCACGCGAGTGACACCGCCAGAAGGTGGATCATCTCTAAAGCGGCGTGCGGGTCTGGACAGTCGCTGGTCCTGGGCTCGGGGTAATAGCGCACGAGGGCTTTTTCTGATGGGTCAGGGATAGGGATCCAGGATTTGGAAAGGGCGATTTTCAGAGGGGTGTGGGAGCGGAGGAGGCGGATGAGTGTCCACACGCTGCGGGAGTCGCCGGTCCGGGCAAGGTCGAGGCCGTGGGAGATGAAGTCTGGGGAGGTGATGTCGATTTGGCGGGTCATTTTCTCGAACTTGGAGAAGAAGTGGGGGGTGGTTGAGTTGTAGGCGTCGAGGCTGGCGAAGATGTTGGCGAAGGAGGCATTGGATGCGGATGTTTCCATGTTGGTTAGGGTGCGTCGGGTGGATTTGGTGAGGGAGTTGCGGGCTTTCAGGTCGACGGCTAGTATGAGGAGGCCGTTGGCTGGTAGCCCAAGGTCATGGATGCCTTTCATTAGGCTGCTTAGCAAGTCTTCGCTGGAGTCAGTCCTGTTGATGGACTCGTAGAGGCCGAAGAGACGCCTTAAGGGTACATCTGTGGCTCGTACATTCTTCCTCCATAGAGGCCCGTCGGAAAGGCCTTTGCTGAGAGTGCGTAAAGCCCATATGCGTAAGATAATCTCATGTTGCACCGGGATATTTGGCTCTGTTACATCGCGCTGCGATCGAACATCAAGCCATGCTTTCGATGAAACAAGTTGCGGGATCTCTTGGGCCTGCAACAAGCAGTCGTGCCACCGGCTAAGCAGATCTTTCTTGTTCAACGCCAGAAATTCGGTTGTCGATATGACAGCAGCTGTTGCAAGGTCCGGCTTGAAACTGCTTAGTATGTCACTCGCGTAGACTTCTCCAGCGCCAGCTCGCAGCTTCTTGGGAAGTTCCAGCCAACGCGTGATAAACAACGTGGCCCACGAGCAACATGCCGACTCCAGTCTCTGAGCAGCAACGAGCATGCTCTTGGCCAAGGGCAAATCCTCGCAGACATTCCTCTCCCATAAAGCACCAAGCCACGCGTCAATGACCCCCTCATCGAGATCACCGTGCCCATAGATATCACACCGTCCAATTGCATCCCATATCGTTCGGTACATTGCCGTGACCGTATCCGGGGACTGTCTCTTCTTCTCACCCTTCGCCGGCACTGCTTTCGCAACAGCCTCTATAACAGCGCACAGCTCCTCAGGCGGAACAAGCCCAAGCTCCAGAGCCTGAACGACATTGTCGAATAGCGGATGCCACTTCCCCTGCCTTATTCCCCGCGAAGCGATATACTCGACCGCGGTCAAATAATTCCTCGCTCCGCGGATATTAAGATGCGGATCATCCAGAAACGACACCAGCTCATCAACAGCCACCTCCCCCCTCCTCGAGCACGACAACAAGTGATCGAATATAAACCGACTATACCCCGGCTCTCGCAAAAGATCAACATCCAGTTGCCGAACAACCCTCTTAACAGCCTCGACGGTACGACACTCCCTCAACCGTCTCCTGACATATTGATCGCGCGATACCTCATCTGACCCCTCCGGCGGCATATCCGGCCTCCCAAACTCAAACTCATCACCAACCACGTTACCACCCTCATTATACACCGGCGCAGACTGTGTCGGAATCGGAGGCGGCGGCGGCGGTGACGGCGACGGGGTACTCAATTGATAAAAGTGCGAGCCTACAAACACAATCACCACCGTTAGAATCTTCCACCAACATCAAGCCAACAATTTTGGTCACTCACCCTTTGTCTTCCTCCCCTCCGTCGTGGTCGTCCATTTCATATGCTCCCTCCCATTGCGCCCAAACAAACACGCAATATCATCCAAGGGTCCCGTACCCGCAATCCCAGCGAGGGCCGTATTCCTCCTCTTAGCGAGTCGTCGCCGAGCCTCCAACGGACCCGGGACGCGGCTCTCGTAGCGTCGTTGGCCGTTAGCGAAGCGTCGGAACGCGGAGGCTAGAAAGTCCTCGCTGATCCAGACGTGGTCGAGGAGGTTATTCGAGGATGGTGCATGCCTGTAGGCATGTCTGCCGAGAGACATGAGGTAGCGGGGCGCATGCGACGGCGGTGGAGGGAATTGAAGCAATTCGCGATGTCTGGGCCTGTCGGATGTGGTTGATTAGCAAAGGCGGGATTGGATGGATCGAGCTTGGAAGGTTTGGAGAGGGTTGGATGGGTGATGAGTAAGCGGGCTGCCCCAAATTGGGGAACCGTGCTTTGGGCTTTAAGTAGTTACTAGGCTAGTTGCTAGTGGTGATTTTGAGGGTTCGTGCAGTGATTTGGTTTGCAGGTAGTAAAGATTCTCTGAATTTTCTTTTCTTTTACGTTTGTTTGTTTGGGTAAGATACTGGATGAGAGGAATATTGTTGTGAGGCTGAGTGCTCGTGTTTCTGGTTTATTCTTGTATACTGAATGTCTAAATGACTGGCCTGTTCTGTTCTTCGTAGGCTAGACCAAGTAGAATCATGCATGATTTGACAGCACATGTCCGTTAATTTATAAACTATGTGCAAGAAGAGAAAGCGAAATATTGTGTATGAAAATAAAAGGAGGCCCCTGCACGCCTTCCATGCATATATGATGTTTCTCTGTAGTCGATGGTATCTTATGCCAATGCTCGCCAACACACAAGGAAAACGTAAAGTTTGGAAAATGAGGACAGACCCGATGATGATGTAAAAGTAAATATGAAGCGAAGGCCAAAAGGCAGGTATGGACGCTAAGGAACGATAATTCGAAAGGAACGCTGTCTGTTTTGTGGTGCTTTTCTTTCGAAGCCGTAAACTTCGTCGTGAAACCCTTCAAGGGCTCCCTCACTAAGCAGAACGTGGTTTTCTTCCTGTTACCACATAATAGTTCAAATAGGCGTGGACCTCCCGGTTTTGGATGGATTTGCGAACATCGACCAGGAAGACTTCGATCTCGGGCTTCGACCAGCCAAGAATCGTGAGTGGCTTGTAAGACCAACCAGCTGCGGCTTCCAGCAGGTTTGTCTCGTTCCACGAGCCAATCGTTCTCAGATGAGAGTCGGTAGACCAAGGGTTCACGGGTACTTTTTGAACCCGTTCCTGAACGTCCTCGAATCCCACTTCTCTCATCCAGCGTGCCAGTCGATGGGCTACTCGAAACTGTCGGGGCGGGTCTGATGCCTGACCGGCACGATGGTGTAAATCCATCAGGTCTTGAAGGGCATATTCGCTGAATTTGTCGGGGTCCTCTTCTGGCATGGTTCCGTCATCGCATTTCGGCTTCGGGTCAAACTCGTCGCACTGAACACTGCCACCAGGCTTGAGATGCTTGAAGATTTTCCGTAACAAATCTTTATATGATGGTAAGGCACCTGAAAGGTGACCAGCATGAATGATGTCGAAGTGATTGGGTCCCCATAGCCATTCGTCCTCTGTAACGTCATCGACTAGGAAATGGACGTTTTCGGGGACTTCGTTCGGTTGTACAGGCGAAAGATCGGTTCCTATAATCTCGGCTGCTGGGAATTCAGACGCTACATGTGATGGAGACACGATGAGAAACTGTCCGGTAGGATGAGCTGGAGAGGATGGGGGGAAATGTGTTTTTCTTTCGCTTACCTAGTTCTATAGGCCATATACCAGAGCCGGTGCCAACATCTAGGATTTTCTTTGGGCTTTGGGGAGAAGCAAAGAGCAGCCGCCCGCGGTTGACCAGTTTGAGCATGTGGTGTTGCATGTCCATACGGTCTAGCTCTTGCTCGTCGTTGGGATATAAATATGTTGGAGGGTAAAAGAAATTTAGTCAGAGACGAGGCTGGCCCCGAGAAAGTCGAAGAGGCCTGCACATACAGCCCTCATGATATTTGTGGTATCGTCTCCCATATTCCATGGGGTAATCCGTTACACTGGCAGTCAAAGACTGCGTGTCACTATTGTCACAATTAGCACTAACACCACCAATAGAAGCAAAGATGCGAGTAACCAAGCAGTTCTTGCATCTCTAGCTCAATTTTCGGGGTATAGTTAGGAGAGTCGGTACTTACTCTTCACGACTAGATCCCTGCGACATAATGAGTTAGTTATTGCTAGAGGGGACGGATCGAAAGAAACAATGAAGACGGCGACCAAGAGCAAAAGCAAAGAGTTGAAGAAAGAGCCACTACCACCACAACCAACGAAAAAGATCGGTCCTTGTCAGGGTCTCAAGTAGTAGGGGAGAGCTCACAGTTGATCTACCAGTAGGCATTATGCGTACCAGGGGACTTGGGAAACTGGGGCTTAAGAGGCCAGCGTCCGAGTGGGGGTGGGAATGGTAGTACGTAGGTAGTATCCAGGCCCAGGGCTCGGTAAGGCGACTTAGTCAGTGGATGCTCGACGAAGGTGTAAGTTAAGTTGAGTTAAAAATATAAACGATTTCTCATAAGGAAATAGTATGAGAAATTCAATCCTAGCAGGGACTTGAAAGTCTGGAATTGATTGATAAAAAGAAGGGTTTGTATTTACGGGAAAGTATGCAGAGATAGTAGTAGTAGGTGGTGGCAGAGTATTGTAGAGACAGTCGTGGCGAACAAGGGTTACAAATTCTCCGTTACTGTACAGGGTGGAGGGAAAGGGCATAGGATTTGAAAATTCTCGGAGATGTCATTCCAAAGTTGGAGAGCATCTGGGCCAGCCATATAGTATTTAAGATTGACAGGTTCTCCTCAGCACTACGGAGTCTATAATTGTTGCTGGACAGGGGGGGTGGTTGACATTTGTGGGTAGGTAGCATCAGAAGTGGGTGGCAGAGGAGGGCCGTCGGCTGTCTTTTCCCAATCTCCTTCCCTGAACCCGACAGGTTGGATTAAGTTTGACTTTAGCAGGATGGGGGAGGGGAGGGAAGATACCTAAACCTCCTCAAAGCTAAATAGAAGTAAGAAAATTAGAAAGATACCAGAAACTCTTGGCCCTGACTGGGCCAGACAATCACCATAATTAAGGGGCTTTATTATTTGCGAGACAGCCATTGCACACACCATTGGACAGGGAAAAAGAAAAGATATTATTCCAGAATAAAAATGATTAAAATTTGGAGAGAAGAAAAAGATAGAAAGTCCTAAAAACAAAATAAAAATGCAAAATCAAAAATAAAGATTGGTAGGCCAGAGTAGCTGGCCAGCCCAGTTAGGGTAGTACACTATCCCTATCTACTTGCAGTAAGACTTTTTCGGTCCTTAGGCGGCAGTTTCTACTGTATAGTAAAAGATACTCGCTATAAGGTACTGGGTACTAGGGGATCGGGGGGTACCCACGGGCGCGAAGGGGGGAAAACAATCAAAATTAATAGACTAAGAGAGGTGGAATACTCCAACTTTACACCCAAACTACTACTCGTGTGAACCGAGTGGGTGGTTCTGTTCGGGTGGTGGGAATCCCAAGCCCATCCAATGTCTGATCCTAATCTTTTTGACTTACTTGGGAACACTTGGACACTACTATACCTACCTCGTCCACACCTACCTACTGGCTGGCCCAATGTCCGCAGAGCTGGGCTTCCCGCATGTTGCTTGCTGCATGTAGCCCATGTATGTAGGTGCTTAATTTCCCGTTTGCCTCTGCATTGTTGCCTTCCGATACGAAGTACGGTGGACGCAGGAAGACGTAAGTAGGTCATGTTAGTGGTGGCCATTCTTCCTGCCGAGCGTCACCGAGAAAAAGCCCCCCCTCAATTAACTTTTCTTGTCTCCAACACAAAGCTAATCAAATTCATTTTGACCCCCTTCGGAAAGTTCTCTCTTCTTCTACAGCTTCCGCTCGGAAACAACGGGTACTACCGCAGACGAATGGCCCTCCGATCCTTTGGCTTCCCGGTAGGGGTTCCATGATCACCTGAACCTGAAGCGACTTGAGGATCGTCTCCCAATCCTTCAGGTCGGAGTTGACCGTGGTTTCAAATTAGGTAGCCTTTTTCTTTTCTCAGTATGAGGGGAAGACATACACTAGCGTTCAATTATTGCGGCCAGGCCGGGGGAGATTGACAACGCATTCATCAGTAGGTCATTAAGATCTGCCTATTTTTTACCTCCGGCCCGTCCTGTTTCTTCCTTTTTCTGCTTTTCTTTTTATAATGGCCCCTCCCGCTGGGCATTGGTGCCAGGTTACTGGGTAGCTGCCGGACTAATCAGAATCCATAGCGACAGGAATAAAGGGAGGAAAAAGAAAAGGGTAAGGAAAAAAAGCACGGGCGTCCCAGGCTGCCGGGAGCAGCCAGCGACGGGGGGCGAAACACTATTACTAAATTGATAGTCCTGTGCATATCGGACTAAAAGACGCTCGCTAATCAGGGGCCCAGATGGTCGAGATGGTAGAGGTCGGTTAATAACTTAATGTTGGTCGGCATACCCAGGGTGGCGGCCCGAATGGTCCGGACATTTTCTTCGAGAAAAAACATTTGGAATCCTGACATGTCTCACAGATTGCTGTAGTTGTTGCCCTTTCTTCCCCTGTAATGAAGACGAAGATGAAGGGAAATTGCATGATTTCCGTGCAACAAGGTGCAAGAGTCGACTCCACGGTCCCTTCGGGATGGAACAGTGATACATCATCCAAGAGGGGAAGCAGACTGGGTGATCTTCAACCGAAATTGGGATCCAATGATTGTTGGTGCCGCACCGCCGGAAAGTCGCATCCATGGACTACTACGACCCCCAATATCCGACTGGGCTGAATTTAGACGGGTGTTGCGGCGCATGCATTTGCATGATCCTAGTACACAGTAAGATAAGCCTGCGTAATTTATCTTTGACTCTAGGAAAGTTAATTAGACTAACTGGCAGACAGCCGGTTAAGGATGCATGTCTCAGCATTCTCCCGGCCTTTTTCGGCCATGGATTCCAGTTCATCCACCTGCTCTGTGGCTCGGAGATGATAAATAACGAAAAGAGGAAAAATAGAAAATGGAAAAAAAGGGAAGAAAAAAGAGAAGCGATAATCAATCAAGAGCAGACGGAGGTACCGCAGTATCCAGTCTGTCGGGATACTTTTGACCCACCTTTTCGTCGGCGGAATTCCCCTCCACTTTTGTCCCACTCGACCTCGACAGCTTTCTGGTTGCTCCCCTTGGTTTGATTCCAAATTCATGAGGCCCACACTCCACTTCCAGCGATGCCGGGAAGCTCCCGTCTCTGAAGGGTTAAAGTTTCTTGTTGAGTCAAATGTCCCTTCTCTGGGGGAATATTGGCAGGTGTGTGTAAATGTATATTGTAGATGTTTGGTGTAGTTACAGCAAGCAAAATCTCAGTTAGTTAGTTAGTAGTTCCAGGACTGACTACATAGTAGCATGATCAAGCAACTCACCCGAACGATTGTTGTCACATGGTCACTCCGCATAGGGAAACCGGTTCTTCAACCACCGACAAGTATGAACGATGATGCAGACTAAGCTTGGACTGCAGTCACCAATTTCCATCCCAACTCATTCCCGGCTTTCGTACCCAAAGGAGGGATGAATACCCCTCCCTAACATCGTACGACAGTCGCAGATGTCTCATTGTTAATTTGAAATTGGTCGCTTGCACGGATTTGACTCTGACTGGATCGTGGCCCCGCAGAAGCATTGTTGGTCGCGAGGTTCCTGCTTAGCTACTAGCCTGACGAAGGTAATAATCAAAATATATTGGGCAGATGCCAAATGGTCCTAACAATCCCGAGAACATACTAGCCTATCGGTAGCTTAGCATAGTAGTACAGTTCTAAGAGAGCGCATTGTCTGCTGTTGGACTGACTCCGCCCACTTCGTTGTCGGAAAGGATTCCCATCATCCAAATTTACCTGCATGCCATACCTGTAGTAGTCGATCAAGACTCGGCGCAGATGAACGTTTTCATCATTAGTTCCTGCGATAACTTCAGGTATCTCAGCTCAAGCTGGGATATGTACTTGTGATGAAAAGTTGAAATTTGATCCTCTTCGCCATCCGAGACTGGCATAGACGGGGTGTTGTAGGGAGTGAAATAGCAACTTCGTGCCTGACAATCGATGGATTGTAAAGTCTCTATTCAGCGCTCATACTCATCTGGGCAATCTTACGAATACGGAAAGACTACTCAGATGAGTTGTCTCCCGAGTAATCTGGGTAGGAAATGATACGTGTATGGTATCAAGAGCTGGCCTTCCGTCGGGATCTTAGAAAAGACCATGAACAATGCTCATCTCATCCATTGCCGGCTAAATGTTAGGATTTCAAGCCATCACGCACCTCTCCATCCAGTCGCTATTGTAGGAGAAGTGCCTGACTTGTACCTTCTATCTTGATGGATTCTTGCCGGGTCATACTAGAGATGATCACCGTGTTCTTACAATACCGCTGGTGTCAGGGTAATACTTCGCTTTCCTCCCCGTCGAATGATCAGTTCACGTCAAACGAAGCGAGCATATGAATGTCCCTCCATCGCCAATATCTGCTTTCCGGTCGTGTAAACATGGAGCAGGGCTTACAGTGCCGAACTTATCGTGCGATATGGTGTTTAATATATTAAGGTTTCCTTGAATGATGTCGCTGAGGCCCATCGTACAATCGCACCCACGCTTGCTCCTCGCTTTTCCTGATCTGAGAAGCGTAATGCTGGGAAAACCTTGAGCTCAGCAGTGATGTGTTCATTTTCCACCTTCTTGCACATAGGGATCTGTCTTCTTCAGATCCCGCGCTGCATGATGCATATTCCCATTGATACGAGCAAACAGGAGACAAGTGCCCCCGGTCATTATTCGCTAGTCTGGGTTTGCATGTCCCACCCGCAGGAAAGAATAGCGAGTCAACTTGCGTCCCTGCTGCTCGGAGATTGGGAGATTTGTCCCAGTTTGTCGGAATAGCGCTATTCAATGTTATATCTCGTATATTATACATTAGGTAAAGAACCCTGTTGACCCATTGCAGGGATTTCAGTGGAATGGATGATGGAGCCGAGCGAAACGGAAGACTATCGGAGAGGCCGATAGAGGCCGTCCAAAAGAGATACCTTGAGGTTTAGCCTAGCGGGGTGGAAGGGAGGCAAGAGGGGGCCACCATCGAAGAAAAGGAAGGACTCCAAGAGAGACTAAGCCTGCTCCGATCATTTGGGGGTCGAGCTTCTTAGCGGAGGCGCGGACTTTGCAAAGAAAAAAAAAAAAAAAAAAAAGAAAAAGAAAAAGAAAAAGAAAAAGCCCCATCTCCTGGAGTGGCAGGACCAGTCCGTCTCACTTCAATACACTAGAGGACGTAAGAGCCTACCAAGTGCCACTCACTAATTCTCAGAGGAGAATAGTGACGGCTGGGCTACTGCATGCTGAGATTGTCCGTCAATCACCATGGTGGACTATCAGAGTGATCACTTCAACGGCTTTTTTGATCCCTGTCACTGGAGTGGCTCCCTTCTCTTACCAAGCCAAGTCAGATCTGCTACCTAAGTAAGTAATTGCTATCACTGTGATGCTCTGGCTCAAGCCCCGGCGTTGTCCGGCTCTTCTTGAGTACTACTGCTAACTAGTAGCTCTGTCTCCGTGGTCGCTGGCCTTGTTTGGCCCTTGCAGCCGACCCTCCTTCCAATGACCTTGACAACCGAGCCGGTGCCGAAAATAAATTCAAGATAGCAGCTAGGCTGGGACGACCTTCCCCAATTCCTCCCAACTAATAGCTAGTAGCTAGCATGCGTCCTATTACCAGTTCCTACTAAGGTGAGATCTCGGCTTACTTGTGGTCTTCCACATCATGGACCGGTACAATTGTCTGAAGGTCTATCGCACCTCTAACTTTCAGACTATGGAACTACTGCGGTGACAACGTGCACACGAAAAAAATAAATTAGTGGACTATCACGTATCCATCCTACATCACTGCTACTCTCTTTGTAGCGGTGTATGGACGGCGGTGGGGACCCTGAAATGGTGGTGATGATACCCCAGTCAAGGAAATTTTTAAAATGGCATGACGACAACAATCCAAAATGTTCTTGTGGGTTGTTACCCAGAACAAAGCTTAGCGGCAGCAACAGGCTATGTAGATACAACAGGAATACAGAGTGCGACAGTGTCAGCATCGCGCTATCCTTCACAATGAGCTCCCAAGTGACGCGAGACAAAAGGGATCCCAAACGGGGCTGCGGCGCGCATGCCCCGTAGCTCGGGTGGGCATGGTTTACGCATTCTTGGCTCTGATAGGGGAAGACTCGTCTGCGCCAGGTAAGAACGAGGAAGAGAACGACATGCCAAGTCCTGCGAGCTTCCTAGGCTAGATCCCCATAATTACTGGTTTCTGATGTCCTCGACACTTTCGAAGACGCTCTCTCCCGCCACAAGGCGTCGACAGGGCGGACTTCCGCATGCGGATACATTTCCCTTCTAGAGGTATACCCAATAATACTCCCTCTTTCCCACTAGATCCTCGTTTCGCCCAGCGACAGTCGGATAATAGTTCAGTCGACGCCTCCATACTGTCTCGCTCTTCGACTACAAGGTGTTCTGCTGCTTTCTTCTAGACTATATCATGTCTTCGAGGAGGCGACATTCCCGCGCTAAGCTGGGAATTACTTGCATGCCTGGCAATAAGTAGGTGTAACCATGTCACGACGCTCCCAGCGTACTGGGTCTGGGACTCACCAAGGCGACCATGCAGAAAAAATTCCCCTGATCTCTTGGTTTAGTCTCCGGATCTCAAAACAGGCCGGACATTTTCTGCCCCGTACCCAGTCAAAATAAGAGCCCGGGAAGGAGCATCCCTACCCTCTCTATTGATGAGCACCACAGATACCGTTTCGTGCTGGGTGCATTATTGAACTAACCAACCAGGTTCCATGGAATGGCCCTCCTTTCCTATCACTGCAGCGTCAAAGAGATTCCTGCCATCCTCGAATCAGGTCTCTGCACGCATGAGCGGAGATCTTCACTACGTTTTACAGTCCCGAATGAAAACTCCGTAGTACTGCGGTCCACGACCGGCAAGGCATGTCCTAGATACAAGCTGCATGACGATGCTAACACACCGCTGTGGAGATCTGGTTTCAGTTGACTGCATGTCCCTTTGCCTAAAGCAAAAAGCAATGATGTTACATTGCAGCTAGCTTGCATGATTAATCCTGACAAGTATAGGCCGGGATAGTAAGAGCCAGTTTAGCGGAATTTCTTCATCTCGAGTCCGTGTGGACGGTAAGAGGGGATGGAATGGTGTGCTGGCCTGGCGGACGATCTGTTTTTCGGGCCAGCTCAGCTCGTGCCATGCTCCCTGGAATAGTATCTTCTAGCACTATGGGCCGTCAATACCAAACGATAAACGAATCATCGGCTTGCTTTCTAGTGTCCAGACTCCAGATTGCTTTTCTTGGGACATGATCGGGTGCATTAGCCAGCTGTCTCGCGCATGACAGACAGGACCCAATGCCGTGGTCGTGTCATCGTTGCAGAGGCCAAATAAATGTCAGACTTGGGAGGGGAGACCTTTTGGACCGGAGAGTCTGATTTCGGGTGTCCGGGATTACCATCCCCAGCAGCCATTCATTTATGCCCGGACATCTAAGAAATTGAACGCTTACGCTGCAGATCTTGCCTCCCCCAGGCAGATGAAGACCAGTGTAAGGGAGTCTCTACCTGGAGGGTAGAAATCTTTCTTGTTGACTGCCTTCTGTCATGATGTTTAATTCTTCCTGCTTTGTACTTTTGTTTTGATCCCGTATAATCGGAAAAAAAGGCCAGCTCTAATCTCTCACCATGCTTCATTCTATAAGGCAAAACCACTTTTTCAGGCTTGGACCTTCGTGCCCTTGGGCTCAATAACATCAACTTTTCTCAAATCTGCATACATACCAACATACATATCCTCCTCGACATAGTAACAACAGGGTGTTGGGTGGCTCCATTATTCTGAGTGGACTGGTTGGAGGAGGAGAGACGGCACTAAGCAGCAGATTGAACTCCAGCGTCGCCCAGGCGTCGAATCGCAGCGAGTCCCCAACAGGCAAGAGGCATGACTGGCCAGCAAGTCCAAAACTTGTCCCCATTTTCTTAATCCCCAATTTCCAATTCCCAAATTCCACCTCTTTTCCAGCCATGGAAGGATCCGCCAGATGAACTTCTCCACCCCCAAGCCCTTCCTTCATTTGACGCGCTCGTCCAGGCTAAGCCCCGTCCTGGCAACCGTGCCTTATCCCTGGTCTTCTTTTGTCCATGGCCCTGGGACGGCTATCTATTCATCTCTCTCTGCCAGCGAGATCTGTCTGTCCTTCCCCCGAAATCTATCGTGGCTGGGCTCTCTTCACTCCTCTCTGTTCTCAACGCCTCCCACAGAGCTGTGGCTAATCAACAAAACCTCGTCTTGTGAAGTCGATATGCGTGGCATGCCTTCCACTTTGCCAGACAACAAATTCCCCCCTCCCCTCCTCCCGTATCCACCGGGATGCAGGAGCTCCCAGCTAGTTGCATACGGTTTTCTTGCCAATTACCGCAAGAATTCGGCTCTGGTGTTCGGGGAACCTCGGGTTAGATGATACTAACGCAAGAAAAAGGCTCACTTCGACCATGTGAATGAATCCAGACTCAACTTACCCCGCCATCATCGCAATGATAGGACACCTGGCTGTGGCCGGTACGCTCTAAAATAGATCTAGCGAATGCCGCTAACACGCGGTCTGCATCTAGATACGCACGCCCGAACTTGATCGTTCTCACCGGAGCACGACGATGAGATGCACCTCTCACTGTAGTGCAGTGGGCCAAAACGGTGATGGGCAAGGATACACACACAGCAGGAGACGCTGTCACAGGTTAATTAGCCTCTTCCACTCTTGCGTCTCGTTCACTTTCCTCCTCCGTCGATCCCACAGGAGCGGCATCCTGGTCTATGATCAATTGGGCTATCGGACCATAACAGGGATCCTAGGATACATACAAGGTTTCTGGTTCAGAATCGTCCAGTCTATTACATACCTTTATGTATCTCATCACTAAAACATATTGTGCGAGAGGGTGTGGCTACATATCAAGACATGAGTACAGTGCTAGTTATGCGCGGAATTTGAGGGGTTTCTGTAAACAACGTTCATCATTGACTTGACATCCTAGATTACTGACTTGTACCGAAACTTAGGCCTTCAAAACACATTAAGACGCACACCTTCCTATAAGCGGCTCGCAGCCATCCTAAGTCGCAAGAGCCCTCTGCACCGAGGCTATATTGGCCTCCATAGGCTGCACCTTGTCGGTCCTATCCACTGGTGTGAGATAACAGCCAGGAAAATGGGTAAAACTCCAAGGACCAAACTCACCTAGTCGTGATGCGAATGTCCGTCTGAATTCTGGCTATGCCTTCCTGGTGGATCAGCGTATGGGCGTATCCGATGATTTGGGACACCTGGTCCCACGATCCCTCTTTAAACCAAAGATATTAGATTTGCAGTAGCAAAGGTGGGATGGCGTATGATCTCCGAATCAGAACGCTACATGGAAGCCGTACACCGCGCTCTATGCAGAGATTGGGCCCATAGCCCCGACGGGATTTCTGATCCAGCATCAAGGGGATTTGAATGAGCGGAAAACATACCAACTATAGTTCCAGTGGCGTGCATCTGAAACTTGAGACCAGAGTTCTGCATCAGACGCTGGATATCCGCGACCTGCTTTGAGAACGATGCGCTTTGAGAGCCGATCTAAGCCACGTTAGTATCGATCGAGCCATGTTCTGCCTTCAAGCTAACTAGAAGGAAAGATGACAACATACTGGAATGAGAGAGAAGTCTGCAGTGCAGTTCTCTGGAGTTTTCAAGGTAGCCATTTGGACGATGCTATTACGATACCTGATTGCAGCAAATACGCGTCGTTGTCTGGTTAGGGTCTTCTAGCTACATACCCCCCAAGTACCGCATGCCCTTTATTTACTATGCGAAACGATGCTAATCATAATGACGTTCAATTAGACTATGACTATACCGACCTATGTTATGCGAGGCACATGCCTATGAGCTCACTACCATGAAAGCGCGACACCCCCTCGAGATTAGAGTTTCGGTGGCTTCACCTTATCAGCCCAGGTAGTATGTCTCGTCAACGGTTCTCCCGCGCCGCTGGGCTGGCTCACTCCCACGAACATAAACATCCTCGAACAATACGTCCGAAGTTAAGGGTGGTTCCGCCATCTTCTCCGCTTCCTGAGCTTCACGGTCAACTTTGCGTCGGATCTCCTTATCCATCGTCTTCGCCTCGTCGTCGCTGAACACGCCCCATTCAATCAACTTTTCTCGATAAGTCGTGATGGGATCATGCGCCCGCTCGGCCTGCACCTCGTCTTTGGTCCGGTACGCCGTCCCCGGATCAGATACCGAGTGTCCCGCATACCGGTATGTTTGGAATTCATACAGCAAAGGTCCATTCCCGCCCAACACGTAGTCTTTGCCGTACTTCATTGCAGCTATCACCGCCAGAACGTCCATTCCGTTGATGCGGAGACCTGGAATGTAGTATCCTCGTTTGTAGTATTCGGTCATGGCGGAAGCGCGCTCCACCGACGTGCCCATTCCGTATTTATTGTCTGCAACCAAACACAAGATTAGAAACTGAGATCCAGGGTGATCCAACACAACGCAAGAACAACAATGAAAAAGAAATAAGAATAATGAAAATAATGCCAACTCACTCTCACAACCAAAAATGACCGGCAACTCCCACAACTTAGCCATATTATACGCCTCATGTACCTGGCCCTGATTCGCAGCCCCATCCCCATAAAGATTCACCGTCACCTTCTTGGTATCATCATACTGCTGCGCAAACGCAATCCCCGTCCCAAGGGGCACATTCGACCCCACAATGCCATTTCCACCAAAGAAATTCTTAGTGAACATATGCACCGAACCACCCTTCCCATGACAAATACCGTCTCGACGACCAAGTAACTCTCCAATGATAGATTTGACACTTCCACCCCGCATCAACGTGAACCCGTGGGCGCGGTACGCAGTAATAACCTTATCTTCGGGGCTGATACCGTGTTCCACCCCCACCGCGACGGCCTCTTGGCCTGTGGAGAGGTGGCAAAAGCCACGGACCTTTTGTTCCTTGTATAACTTGTCGGCTGCGAGTTCCATGCGTCTGGGAAAGTTAATTTGGGAGTCCAGAACGATTGTGATTGGAAGGGAGGGGAGGGGTAATGAGAGAGAGACCTTATTAGCGACATGTCATGGTAGAGTTGTTTTAGTTGGCTTTTGGTGGTTTCTAGGCTGTAGGGAGGCGGGTCGAGATTGTATGTTTCGAAGCTGTCGTCTGCTATGGGGACGCTGAAGGGTTTGGTATCCTCCTATAGGGGAGAGGTTAATTCTGTAGTATCCTAACATAGGGGTGAACAGGACGTGGGTTGAACAACGCACTGTAGGGAGATCTGAGATGTTCGAGACATGGGCCATGCATCGCCGGTATGGCAGGCCTGGACGTGTCCAGTGGAGAGGTCCCTTGGGTTTCAAGGATCTCGTGAGCATGGTTCCTGTGATTTGGGGCTTGTGGTGGCGGAGTGTGAGGCGTGCGCTCTTCGGCAGGCTTTCTCGGAGGAGGGATTGGGGTTGAATTCAACTGGAGATCTTGAATGAGTAGAGATTAGTAGAGGTGATTCTGCCACCGCTGATAGTACTTTGTAAGAATGGAAGAGTTCATCATTCTAGAGATAGGTGGATGGGTTGGTGCACCCCCAAGTCCTTGTAGTGACGCAATACTGAACTCAATCGGCAGCATGGGTAAGTTGAACAAGCATGGTTGGCTGGTCTGCCAATGAGAGTCGGCCATTATGTGTCAAAAGGCCAAGCTGCATTCACGGTTCCGTTTCCTGCTCTTCCGCTGGTTCGTACCCCTGTTTTTCTGACTCTCTGTTTAGCTGAGATTTGGTTGCTATGCAGTCTCTGCTAGTAGCGCAGCAAGATCATGGGCTTTAGGGCTGGCACAGGCCGGGTAAGCCATGGTAGCTGGTTAGTATCTTTTCGGTATATATTGAGGCTTTTCGGACCCAGTTGAATGGCAACAGAACGAAATTTCAGATCCGTCAGAAAGTGCGTGCGAAGTATAAACCAGAAAGTAATATGGCGGAGTATGAGCAACAGCCATGTTATTGCCTTGTTGCCTGAACGCACGGACCAGGCGATGGCGGGCTCGACGCGTGACGCGAATTGGCTGACTGAGGAATCAATCCATTAACGCGGTCCGCAATGATCTAATCGGCCACGAGCTTGCGTCCGAGGCCATCGACTCGTGCAACGCCTATGGCTCTCCGCAGACTCACCTACGACACTGACCATTCTGAGTTGCGATGAGACAAGGTGAGAGTACGGGTATAACCGGCACCACGACTAGTCAGGGACAATTTCAGACACCAGACAAGCCTCCTAAAGTACGTCCGGCGACAGAGACCAACGCGGCCAAGGCAGCATTAGCCAGGACAGAGCTCCCTGCGTCCTCTGCATCGACGTCGAGATCCTGGAAGAGAAGCTCTTTTCCCGGTCTGCCGGATCAGCCGACACTTACGCAGATTGACTTCGTCACGCCAAAGTCCCAGTACACGGGGTCTGAGGGCGATGATGATGATCTCGACTACATCGACAGCAAATCACGCAGCAGACGACGGGCAGATCCTGAGGTGATTCAGATTGATGATGATTCCGATAATGACGCCGATTACCAACCGCCATCGCATTTGAAGCCGAAGCCGGCTGACATTCGTGGAGTCAAGTTCGAACGAGGTGCAAAGAATGCCGCTCCCAAGCCAAAAAAGAGGAGCCCCCAAGGTGGCGGCGACTTGAAACAGAAGCGCAGAAAAAGCGGCGAGGGCAGTAGTATCAGCAAGAAAGACAAGGAAAAGGCGAAAGGACATAAGACCCTCACTCAAATGGACTACGTGCGACGCTATTTGAAGATCGAACCGGACGATGACGTGAAATTGGACTATACTTACATTACTCCTAAAAAGAGCGATGGTCAGGATAGCCAGCAAATGCGCTCTCGGGATCCTGAGAGTTTCCAACACCAGGATGGCCGTCAATTCAACTCATATGGACGCGAGGCACAGAAAATCAAGGATGAAGAAGGTGCGACGCTGACTACGGAAGCTACGAATGATCGGGGAGCGACCGAAGCTCCAGTGACACCAAAGAAATGCTTCAAACAGGAGATACCCTCGTCCCAGTCTCCCGAGAGCCCTGGTATTGCAATAATTACATCTTCTCAGTTCCACGGCGCCACTCGTTCTCCTCAAAAGCATGTACCTGTCGGCATTACCGATCGGCGTATCAAGGAAGAGTCACCTGCGATGCATCGCATCAAAGAAGAACCTCACCAAGATTCAGAGCCGATGTTGCTGTTCCCTAACGATATATTGCCGGAATCCGGGAATCTAGACTCGCCGATTTCCCGTCGAGAAGGTACACCTCATCAAACATCGGCCGATCAAGCAGAGACGCCCACGAAACCAGCTCGTCTACATAGCAGTCCTGGGCTTCAAGACTCCAAAGAAGGAGCGATGACTTCACAGAGGACGGTAATATACGAGACAGATGCGGAGAGCGACTACGGCGACCTTGAAGACGATTTACCCGACGCTCCTGCTTCTCCCAAAAGCCCAGAGCCCCTCGAAGGAGACCCCGATGCAACTGATGACCTTGACTTTGATCCCTCGAAAGACAATTCGCAAGACCAAGACCTTCCGCCTATGGGTTCATCCGGACTGGACGTTGAAACAGAACTCCCGCTTCCGGAACCAAACCCCACCTCCGAAGCATCGATATATTACCAAAGGCTGCAGCCAGCTACCCAATTTCCCCTTGGTACAATCCCGACGTTAAGCTCCCAGAAGTTGGCTGAGCTGTTTCCAGAAGATTCAAATGACCAGCAAGCCCTCCGGACGATGTCACCTCTGCCGTCATCCCCTGGAACGGACAGTCGTACAATGTCCAAACCTGGCATACCAGCAGTTAGCCAGACTCAAGCACAGCATTCCGCCAAGGCTCAAATGGAGATGGTCCCGGAATCCTCGCCTATCGCGCGACAAGGAAACGGCATCCGAGCAAAGGAGTTCATTCCCCCTGAGCCCCTTGCGCGAAGGGACGTGGTACAAGTGGAGTCTTCACAGCCAGCAGACCGGCTCCACAAGAAGAATCAGGAGGATAGTTCCGGTCCTCGTGGGATTCTGACCGGCAGCCAGATCCTCACATCAAGTGTGATGGAAAGCGTGCCACTTCCGGCCTTCCTAATGGATAGCCAAGATAGCGTTGGAGAACCCTACAGCTTACCAGACTCGTAGACACTACATGATTGGACAGCCCGATATATGACGACACTAATGAGACACGGCATCGAAATACCCTATGAGACTATATCATATATAGCAAACAAGAATATATTATATCCCTCACAGGGTTTACGCTTAAGTACTTAGTAGTAGTTCTTCACCACGTGGGAGGTATCAGTGAGTAGGCGGTCGGGCCGTCGTAGCCCCGGGAACGAAACCGCCCAGTTGACTGACCAGAACACCCTCCGCATCCCTCATTCCAATTCCACGATATGCCCTCCAACTTCATCTGATAATCCCTCTCTGATTCTGTCCAACCCTCCCGCAGTCATGGATGTAGCTTACGACCACATCCAAGAGGAGATCTTCTCCTCCAACGACTCCGCCAAGAAAGAAAACAACAGCAACAACAATAACAACCCCTCCGATGCACCCGCCACCAACTCAGACCGCCCCAACGTCGACCTTAACGCCGAACTGCAGGAAACCTTCCGCGCTTTCTCCGCAAGTCCCTGGGGTGCACGCATCGGTGGACTCTGGGACAATGTTCGCAAACAAGGAGAAAGCTACTACGAAGGCGCTCGCCAGGAATACGCCGCCGCCAGCGAAGAAGCCGCCAAGGGGTTCTCGGATCTGA